TCGTCGTAGGTAGGCACCGCCTCGGGGGTCCGTCAGAGCCAGAGACACAGAGAGAGAGAGAGAGAGAGAGAGAGAGAGAGATAGAGAGAGAGAGAGATAGAGAGAGAGAGAGAGAGAGAGAGAGAGAGAGAGAGAGAGAGAGAGAGAGATAGAGAGAGAGAGATAGAGAGAGAGAGAGAGAGAGACAGACAGAGAGACAGATAGAGAGAGAGAGAGTAGAGAGAGACAGACAACACAGACACACACACACACGCAAAAGAGACGTTACTCCCAATCATTACCGCAACACACACACACACACCTCAGTTCAGGTTTCAAGCAACAAGTGGGTGTGTGTTTGGAGGAGCAGCGGCAGAGGGAAGATGGCGGCGACAATGGACCTGAGGGCTTGGTGGGTGGTGATGATGGTGCTTGGGGCCTTGTCTTTGGGCTCGGTGCGCGCGGCGGTGGAGGAGATCCAGATCGTTTGCGCTGGCGTCAACCAGGTAGGACAGCCGTGCGCACACCTGTGCAAACTTCTTCCGAGTGGCTGCGCCAGTTGTCATGTGAGGGGTGCGACGTGCACGTTGTGGCCGGTTGTAGACTTGCAGCGTCGCGACGAGCAATAGCAGTGGCGCCGGCTATCATGCGCGCGCGCTTGTCGATCGTGATATGTACAACAAGACCGGTTTGTGAAGCGCGGCCCGGGCCCGCTGCGTCGCGCGCGCTTTTGACGTTTTCGTGCTTTGGTTGAACGTCTCATGTTTTTGAGTGGGCGCCCGTGTACCACTTGCCACAGGCTGGGGTCTGCTCAAGGTTGAGACGGGACCCGGTGTGTCAGACGTGCTGGCTGCCTACGCCGCGGGCTATGCCGAAGCCGTGGCCACCACCGATATGATCCATTACGCCATTCAGAACCTGGTCCATGAGGAAACGGACGCCGTGCGTACACGTGTGGGCCGCAGAGGCGTGTTCGATGCACAGACCGGGCATTGGTAACTCATGCGCATGCATGCTCTTTGGCGCTGCCCAACTCCTTTCTTCTTTGCGCCAGGTGATGAGCTTTGTGCAGGACAACTGGTATGCCACGCGTCATGGCGTCGCCACCAACTCGTCCCAATATTGGCAGCAGGTAAGTCAGCGTCGCAGGGTAGCCCCTAGCAATTGGCGGGAACATGGCAGACCACTTTTGGGCGTGTAAAGGAGAAATGCGTTGCTCAGTGTCCTGGTGTCGTCAGGTGGGCCTGGTTTTGTCCCAATTTGATGGCATGTTCAATGGCTACAACGCCCATCGCGGAGGTGTGTGCTTGTTTTTTTTGCTATTTGGCTGCTTCGCACGGCTCTGAGCTGGTTGCAGCGGCTTTTGGAGCCCTCTTGCGCCGCTCAATTGGGATCATGCCGGACGGGTGAATTCATAGACTTTCCAGCGGTGTCCATGTGGGACTTTTTGAAGCTGCAAATGCTCGAGGATTTGCCGGACGTGCGCCTGAAAATGAATCCCAGCACGCGCCCCAATCTCTCGCGCATGAGTGCCCAAGAGCTGGACGACTATGTGGCAGCGCACACGCATTGCTCCGCCATTGTCAAGGTGTGTTGCAACGCATGGCAAACGATCCAAACGCGTATCCGCTTGGTTTGGGGTTTCGGCAGCGCCTCATCGCGCTCTTGCCCAGGTGCCGGATGACCTCTCCGATATTTACGTGAGCCACACCACGTGGTGCAGCTATTCGCAGATGCTGCGTCTGTACAAGACGTACAACTTTTCCTTCTCCTTGACCAGCAACAAGGCCGAGGTCGTGATGTTTTCCGCCTATCCCGGCCTCATTGTGGGCATTGACGATTTTTACACCACCAACAACGGCCTGGCCATTTTGGAGACGACCAATGTCGTCTTCAACAACTCGCTATTTGATGCCATTACCACAGATACGGTGATGTACTGGTACGACGCGTTTTACTGACGGAAATCTGGCTTTTCCGAGCGAGGCGGCCATGGGGCCGACCGTCAATGTCGACTCACTGTTTTATTTTTGACCCGTCCCTCGCCTTGCCGCCTTGCCGTGGGCCCTGTGGGCAGGATTCGCGCGCCAGTGGCCAACCGCATGGCCACGACCGCCGTTGACTGGCACGAGCACTTTTACAACTACAACAGTGGCACGTACGTTTGGGCCAGAAAGTCAACCCATTTGATCGTCCAAAGTGTGCCGCATATCTCGCTCACGCTTGCAAAAACGTGTTTGTCTAGGTACAATAATCAGTGGATGGTCAGTCTGAAAGTTGCCGGCCATTGCTGGCAAGCCGCTAGGCACTCAGCCGCAGCTGCCCCCGTTGATTGCGCGTGCTATTAGGTGGTCAACTTTAACCTCTTCACCCCGGGTGCCGACCTTCCGGAAAACATCTTTGTGGTCTCTGAGCAGGTGGGTTGACATCATTCATGTCTGTGCCGGGGCATGATGGTATATTGCATGCGTTTGGCCTCGTCCTCATGGTGGATGTCGTGTTGGACGCAGCTCCCGGGCTTTTACATCGTGGCGGATCAGACGTCGGTCTTGCAACGCAACTACTGGCCATCCTACAACGTGCCCTTTTATCCCGAGGTATGATGTGGTATCCCCAAGGCCCAGGACATGGCTTGAGTCAAGGTCGGCAGGCTTCATGGCATTGCGTTTGTTGTCACGCCCACACGCAGACGTACAACATGTCTGGCTATCCGGCGGCGGAGGCTTCAATGGGCACCAAGTACTCGTATCAACTGGCACCCCGTGCCAAGATTTTTCGCCGTGACGCGGGCACCATTCATTCCATCGAGGATTTGCAAACGTTTATGCGGTCTGTCCTTTGCCCAAGGCTGACACTCGAGCCCTCTGTAGGCTCATCTATCTCACGGCCCACCTCTTGTTCGTGTGTAGGGAAAATCACTACGGCACGTCGGATCCCCTCGCCCCAGCAACGGATGCTGCCATTGCGGCCCGGTCAGTGTGCGATTTTTAGCGTGGATCGAGAGCAGTTCTCCCGTTTTGCTGCATAGATGATTGAGAATGCGCGTCGGGAAAGGGAATTTTTTTTCTCTGGAAGGACAGATGGGCTTGTTGTACTCACACCTTAATGGGCACGGATTGGACGCAGGCGCGATCTTGATCCAACGGCACCTCGCGCGGATGGTGCCATTGATGCCAAGATTGTGACGGCGAGCGATGTGGCCAACCTGAGCGTGGTATGTCCTGCTTCGGTTTCCAATCGACTCTGATCACCCCCGGCTCTATTACAGCCACTCGCTCATTTGCACAACAAAATCATGTGCAGCTGGCGATTGCAGGACCAACACACGATACCCAACCTGTTTTCTCCTGGACCGGCAAATGGGCCAACCAGAGCTTGGCGCCGCACTACGGCCACGTGACAACCTTTGACTTTGACTGGGTGCACATCAACCAGCAATCCTATGAGCCGCTCTAAAGGAACTGTAGAAGATGTCGAGTTTGATTTGAATTTGAGATTTGTCTGCTGAACAGATCGCCCATTCAAGGGGCGGCGGGAAGCGGATACAAAAGGCTTTGACGACCAAAAATTCAACTCAAATCCATTCAAAACTTTTGGCAACACGATCCGCGCGGACAGCGGGCCGGCAGTTAGCCACTACCAAATGTCTTTGCTGACAATCACCGTTGTGGCTTCGAAACATTGGCTGTTGTGGTGATTTGAGGCGGGTGCACGGATGAAATTCCCCCCTCACCGTCTCCTCCCTTGTCTCTGCCACGAGAGCCGTCTCAGTGACTCTCTCTGACATTGGCATGATTTCAACGGGATTGAGCTCCCATTCTCACGCCAGCCGCTCAAATCTCTGGATCTTATCCCCTCAGCCGTATTTCTCTCTGCTTCCCCACTCACCCAGTCCATGCCGTATTTTTCTCTTTGAGACACAAAGAGAGAGAGAGCGAGCGACGCGTAAGTCAAGCTGTCCTCATTGCACACGCTTACAACATGTGTTCTGAACGGGGTGCCTTGCAAGTGAATTTCGGAGGTGAAATGGCAGCGCTCCCCCGGACGCTCGACACTGGCCGGGGGACTGGAAGGGGACACCCCTCTCCCCCGGTGATCGATCTCGCCGCTTGATTGAGTTTGTTGCATGTTCTATTCTGTGTGGGTGTCTGTTGGATCGGGAGTGATCTGGGCTCCCTGCGTCCTCGATGTCAGCGTGCCACACACACACACACACACACACACACGAGTCTTACTCGCGCGCTGTGACTGATGCATGGGCAGCCGAAGGGGGTCAAGAAGCCAGGCATTGGGGCTTGGTTGAGGCATCCCATCTCCATGCTAGACACATGCCTTGCTCCGTACACGCTTGCTTTTGCGCCAGGGGCTGTTGTGTTGCTCCAGCCCGCCACTTGTATGCAGCTGCTGCCACCACGAGCTCATTGACCTCCCTCCACCTTGTTTCAACTTTTTTTTTTTTTTTCTTTTCGTATCTTTCTAGACGCCTCCGTGCTCTCGCTCTTTGCCACCCTCTGCCCTCGCATCTGCCAGTATGGCGGGCTGTTGTGGGTCTTCACGCAAGGCCCAGCGCCGTAAACGGCAATCAGAGCTCCAAGAAAAGAACAAGGTACGCCCCCCCGTGTTCTCCACCAGTTGGGACAGCTGTCACACGCTAGCCACCCCTGCCGGATGCACGTGACCCCACCCTTCCTACTTGGCGGCGGCCACACACACACGCACACACACACACACACGCACGACCACCTGGCCTTGCCATGACTCCTGCTCTCTTTCCCGGCCCTCACCTTGATTGCCGTTTGATACGATCACACACGCAGGCTGACCAGGAACAGGGCAGCAACCGCGATGATGTTCTCGAGCTGGAGGAGGATCCTGCCGGCACCCAGTTCCAGCCTCGTGCCTCGGGCCAACTCAACGTGACCTCATTGGATGATATCGGTGGGTGAGATGAGCCTCTTGGCTCTTAACACCTGCCTTTCACACACGGGCCACACCCCAATCTTTTGCTTTCGTCCCCCCCCCCCCCCCAATGGTCGGTGTCGAACTCACCCCAATCCCTTTGATCTATCTTATCTGCTGCATCATGATAGATGCCGGTGAAAGTGCCTTTGTGCGCCCCCTCATGCAACAATTCCAAAAGGGTCAGGCCAACTCAACGGTATTCGGGAAACCACCACCAAGGTCCGTCCACAAACCCATTAGGCTCAATCCCCCCCCCCCCCTCCCCCCCCCCCTTCAAATCAGCCCGCAGGCCCCACCTCACTGGGTTCCCCTCCTCTGCCTATGTTTGTCTCCCACGTGACACAGATTGCTGCCTCCCTCAAGCTGGTCCGTCAGTGTCTGAGCGTGGCCGATGATGCACTCGAGGCTTGCCCTGACGATCTCAAGGCTGCCAAAGAGGTACAGCCTCTCCCCCCTCTCATCATAGCCCATCTGCTCTACTCTCAAGCCTGCGTTCACTTGGCACCTTTAGCCTCACTCATTGTGGTTGAACTCACATCGCGCCGTCCCACCTGCTCTCCACCTTCCTAGAGCAACATCGCTGCTATTCTGCGCGCATCTCATCTTCTGCAGGCGGCTGTTGCTGCCACAAAGCGTGCTGAGCAGACCCGCAAGCGTGCTTCCACCGAGACCAAGCTTGCCGGTAACACGGCCAAGTACGTTGACTCGACTAGCTCGTTTCAACACTCTCCTTTTCCTAGCCTTCAATCATGCCTGTGTGGCTTGGGTCCCACTCACTCTTTTGTTGACATCCATTTGCTGGTGCCACTCGGCAGGGCCTACAATGATGATTTGGACGCCGTCGTGAGCCAGTCCAACAACGATGCCTTTGATCAGCGCTATCACGAGCAACATGATCGCGTCGAGGTCATCTGGATCAATGCAACTCTGGCCAATATCATTCGTCTGCGCGATGCCCTCAATGACCTGCAGTCTCTCATCGATCGCGACCACGATGCACTCCTCAGTGATCTGGCCAATACCTCGGCAGCTGTGACAGACCTGCTGAAGAGCGGCGCCGATGCTAGTGCCGCCACGCAGCTTCTGCAATCTACCCAGCGTGCCCGCAGCCAGGTCCAGCAATGGTCCAAGTCAGTGGCACAGGCCACCAACACGTTTGAGGGCGTCACGGGCGAGGTCTTCACCCAAGTGCCTCAGGTTGACGCTCAAGTCTTGGCTGGCCTCCCCTTTGAGCACTGCGCTTGGGCAGCCATCTGTGCCGAGCACGCCAAGGCCTATCTCAAGAGCCACTTGGAGCTCGTGGCAGCTGCAACCGCCCTGCAGTCCGATGATGCCACCTTTGAGACGGTCGTGCAGGAGCTCGCCGAGCGCGCTGGAGCCCTGCGCGATACAGTCCAAAACGCCGTGCTTCAGCAGTCGACTGAGGAGGCAAAGTCCACCATTGACGCTCTGATCCAGCAGACCAGTGAACTTGGCCAACAGGCAACGATGGCATTCGAAATCAGCAAGGGCAGCACACCTCAACGCATGGCCCTCACAACGTGCCACGACGATGCAGAGCGCATCCATGACCAGATCAGTAGGCTGCTTGTTGTCCACCAACTGGTCGACGGCCGCAGCGAGCAACAAGAGCTCGTGACCCTGATTGACACACACCGCCAGCACGCCGACACCTTGCGCCACCAGCTCGGCCAGGCTCCCGATGCTAACGAAGTCGTTGCTACCGGTGAAGCCCTGGTCAATGCCTACAAGAATGAGCCCGCCAAGGCATGTGACGCCGAGTCCAAGGACGATATCCGTGCAAACGCCCAGTCGCTTAACGAGGTCGGGCAAGGCCTTGGTGACGTTCGCGTTCTGCTTGCGCTTCTGGAGGAGCTCTCGCTTGATGCTGCTCCCGTCAGTGCTCTCCTCGAGGCCGCATCTGCTGCTGCCGTGACCCTCAGCGAAGTTGCTGCCCCAAATCCTTTTGGTCCATCCGACCGCCGTTCGGTGACAATCACCAAGGACAACGGCGGCCTCGGCATTCAACTTCGAGTGCGTCTACCCCGCACCCTCCTCTTGCCTCGCCGATGACATTTTTGCCACGCCCTTAACCCTGACAATTTGCCATCTGCCTGCGTGTGCGCTACCATCATTTTCTCCCCCCTTTTTTTTCACAGACAATCCAAGGATCTCGTGGCGCGCGCATTGATCGCTTCCGGGAAGGGTCTGAGGCTGCCAAATCAGGCGTTCTTCGTGAGCAAGACGCGATTATCGAGGTATATGGCGCCAGCACTTCCATTTGCAAAGTAGACGCTTGGTCACCTGTTTTTTTTTTCTCGGCGTATTTTGGTCTACAATAGGTCAACGATCAACCTGTGCATAATTCGGCGCACGAGGAGCTTGTCGAGGCCCTCCGCTCAACCAATCCAGTCAAGATCACGGTCGACAAGCACTTCCCCATGCCTCGTGACGTCCTCCTGCAGCGCGACCCTGAACGCGGCTTTGGTTTTGGCTTTGTGACCCGTGCCGAGGGCGCAATCATCACTCAGCTCGTGCCAGGCGGCCCGGCCGAACAGTCGACTCAGATCCCCACGGGCTCGTGCATTCTCTACGTATGTAGCCTCGCCACAGCAGATTGAGACATTCCCGCCTTCCCTTCCTCTCTTCTCTTTGGATCGTTGAGCCAGTCGCCTGCCTCATTGTCACACTTTTTTCCTTTCTTCCTCTCGCACGCAATAGGTGAATGATCAGGACGTCCGCAATAAGCCCCATGAGGAGACTCTGGCTGAGCTTAAGCGGTATCCTGGATATGCCCGCGTCATTGTGGGCGTTGATCGCGACACACAAGTCCCATCCGAGCTCTTGGCGATCAGTGCCGCCGATGTCATTGCATCACAAGTTGCACAGGATTCTCAAGAGACCAACGGCGTGAGCAACAACGCCAACGACCCCAGTGCCTCTCAAGCTCTCGCTTCACAGCTTCCTCCGCCTCCTGCTGATGGTGCGTCTTGTGGGGTTTACCCCTCGTTGTGCAGCACACACCGTTTCTGCTCAACACTTCGACTGTTCGGGGTCTACTCTTGTCGTTCGAGTGCTTTGTGGATCACGTGACTCGGCTGATCATCGCGTGCTTTGTGTATTCGGGTCTCCTGTAGACAATACTCGGGTCGTGGTCTTGTATCGCTCAAAGGGCACGCTGGGTTTGAAGCTTCGAACTGAAGAGAACGTGCCCGGTGTCTACGTGCTCGAGATTGTCGAGGGCACGCAGGCCGCTAAGCACGCCGACATCCGCGTGCACGACTACATCGTCAAGGTGAACGGCCAGTCCATGGTTGGTGCTGCCCACGATGATGTTACTCAGGCCATCTTGGGTGCGGAAGACGCCGTGGAGCTGCATTTGAGCACCGTGAATCCCAACAACACGGACGCTCTCAGCGATTCACACGTCGCGACTTCTGCGCCCGTGACGACACCAGCCGTGGCGCCGGTTGAACGTACGTTTCTTTGTTCCCATGAAGGAGCGTGTCTTTTTTTTTTTTTTTTTTTTTCACGTCCTGATGTCCTTACCACGTCTTTGGTCATGATTTTGTGTGTGCGTGTGCGCGCGCGTGTGCGCGCGCGTGTATGCCCGCTTACGGAACCGTGCTTGTTTTTGCAAACTGCAGCCAAAGTGGTGCGCGAGAATGGCGAAACCACCGTTACCATGGAGCGTGGTGAGGGCATGGGCTTTGGTCTGATGCTTCGTGCACGCGATCAGCCTGCAGGTGCCGAGGTTCGTTGCTGATGCCCCTCTGAGAGCACCCCCCCCCCCCCCATGTTTGTCGTGGAGCTTGTTCTTGCTCATATCATCTTCTTGGCAGGTTGTCAAGGCCGTGGCCAACTCACCGGCTGCAGCAACTGGAGCCTTTGAGGAGGGTCAGGTCGTCCTGGCCATCGATGACCAGTCGGTTGAAGATATGCAACACGACGACATTATTGCCCTGCTCAAGAAGCGACGCCAGGTCACTCTGCGCCTTCGTGATCCGATCATCAAGCCTCTGGAATACAGCACCACCAACGGCAATGAGACGGATGCCAAGGTGCCGCCCGCGGAGAAGGCACTTGATGCCGATAATCTCCGCACGGTCGTTTTGCATCGCAAGGAAGGCCAGCGTCTTGGCATGCGTGTGCAGAGCTTTGATGCCGACGAGACCAAGCCTGCTCAGTCATGCATCTTGGACTGTGTCCCCGGTGGTGCTGCGGCGGAGTCTGGCCTTGTGCAGCCGGGTGACGTTATTGTCTCGATCGAAGGTGCACATGCCGAGGGAAAGAGCCATGAAGACCTCGTTGAGATGTTGGTGCAAGCACCGAACCCCGTTACCCTGGTCTTGCGCAACGAGCCCTTGCCGCCAAACGCCGGTGTTGAAGAAGAGCAGGCCCCTCAGCCCACAGCCAATGGCATCAAGATCGGCGAGACCCGCGAGGTTGTGATCGAGCGCAAGGAGGGTCAGCGTCTGGGTATGCGCATCAAGAGCATTCTTGGCCCCGATGGCGATTACACTCGCTCGCAAATTTTGGACTGCGTGGAGGATGGTGCCGCTGCTGAGTCAGGCAAGGTGTTCCCCGGGGATGTCATCGTATCTGTCGATGGCCAGTCGGTCGAGACAAAGTCCCACGAGGATCTCATCAAAATGCTAACAGAGGCCAAGAATCCAGTTACTCTTATCTTGCGCAACGAAGAGCTGGTTGAGGACGACGCATCGCAGGCGGCCTCGGAGCAAGCCCACCAACAGACTCAAGCCTCGCCTGTTGCTGCTCCTTCCGCCAAAGTGGCAGCCCCGGCTGAGTCGACCCCTGTTGACGATAGCTTTAGCAAGCCGCAACAGCAAGAGCTGCACCTTGTGCTGCAGCGCGTTCCCGGCAAGCCTCTGGGCATGAAGCTCATTTCCGATGACACGGATCCTGAACACGGCGTTCGCGTTCTGCAAGTTTTTGAAGACTCGGCTGCCGCCGAGGCTGGGGTGCAGAGCAACGATCGCGTGATTGGTGTCAACGATCAGTCAACTCAGGGCAAGCTGCACGAGGAAGTCATTGCATTGCTTGCAGATCCTCGGGACCAGGTCGAGCTGGACGTGCTCCGTACCATCCCTCCCTCTGGCCGTCGTAAGGTTGGTCAAGTGGAGAGGCCCAATCAGTGCTGGCTATTTCGATGCAGTGTGCTAACGTCAGGGCTCATTTGTCATATCTGTAGGTGTTGCTGCCTCGCGCCGAGGGCCGAGGATTCGGCCTTAAGTTGACCACCGAGAATAACGATGCTGACACTCAGGTTGCGGAGGTTGTCCCTTCTGGCATTGCCGCAGACACTGGTCTGATCAAGGTCGGCGATGTGGTGCTTGAAATCAATGGGTACGTTTTTGCTGCGGCAAAACCTTTTGCTCATACTTTGCTTTTGGAGAAGGCAGGTCAAATCTTGTTGCTCAGGTCATTGATGATCCTTCCTCTCATGCGCACGCCCCCTGCCAGCTCCAACGTCGCGCGAGCTCCCCATGCAGACATTGTCAAGCTCCTGCAAAAGGAGGGCGATATTGTCGTGGTGGTTGACGACCCCCCAGCAACCGGTCAAAAGAACAACAACATCAACGGCACCAACAACACCGCGCCACCCAATGGCGAAGTGAACACGGTGCCAGTTCTGCTGCGCGCACGCGTGGGAGATGAGCCTTACGGGTTGGGCTTCGAGCAGGCCGACGGCGTGATTGTGCAGCGCGTGGACCACATGGGCATTGGTGCTCAGTCTGGCCTGCGCGTTGGCGACCGCCTATACTCGATCAATGGCAACAACGTGTATACTGGTGACCTCAAAGAGGTCCTTGACTACTTCCGTGCTGGCGAGAGCATGCGCCTGCGTGTACGTCATTGCGCATCGGACTCGCGAGCCTGCCTACCTTTCTCGTTGGTTCTGCGCAGCTAGTGGCTCATCATATGGCTGTTGATCATTGAATAACAGGTTGTACGCAAGGAGGACTACAAGGAGCCCGTCCCATCGGGCATGGTTGAGCGACACATCACAATTCATCGCAACGAATCAGACAAACTGGGTTTGCGTCTTGCCTCGCCCGAGGACACCACAGGGGGTAAGCCTGCGGAGTGCTTATCTTGGATCTGACTTGTTCACATTCCACCATCTCCGCTGCTCTAACAGTGTGTTCTACCACGGCCACTCGCGTTCCGTCCGTAGGTGCTGGTGCAACTGTGGCGGAAGTGCGCACCGACGGTGCGGCTCACAACTCTGGTTTGAAGCCCGGTGACCTCCTGGTCACCGTGAACGACCATTTTGTGCGCCACTTTGTGCACACTCAAGTGCGTGCAGTTTCCGGCTCTCTTTTTGTTCTCCCACCTCGTCGCTTGCTCTGTGTTCTTCATTTTCTTAATTGTGTTCTTGATCTGATCGACTGGTGCCCATCTTAGATTGTCGAGCTGTTCTCGGATTCAAACACGCTCGAGATTGATGTGTGGCGGCCTGAGTACCTTGAGCGCGAGGGTTTCTACCTTCAGATCTTGGACCGTCGCCCAGGCGTGGGTTTTGGTCTGACCTTGACCGATGATGAATGCGGTTTTGGCACGGCCATCTCAAAAGTGGTGCGCGTTGCTGTCTCGTTTGCACCCCGTGATTAATCTTGAGCCACCCAGTACAGCCCTGATGACGCTGGTTGATATCTGCTTGTCTTACTCTTTTTCCAGGCAGAAGAGTCGCCCGCGGCAAACACTCGTATTGCGGCAGGCGACCACATTGTGGCCCTCAATGGCGTGGATGTCGAGTACGCCTCTCAAGACACGGTGGTGGACATGATGCGGGTAGGTCTTGCGCAAATGTTCTCACTTTCATTCACTCCTGCTGCGAGTCGAGTACCACGGGATTGATTCACTTGTAACCACCGATGTGGCGGCCATCTTGCAGGACGCTGAGAGCTGTGCAATTGTGCTTCGCACCTCAGACACAACGCCTGCATCAACAGCTGCGGGCCACCTGCGTGCCGTGCATTTGGATCGGTCACTTGGCCAGCCGCTTGGCATCAAGTTGCGCACACAAGACGCTGCCGCGGGTGTCATCATCCAGGAAGTCTCACCAGAGGGCCAGGCCTCGACGCGCGGCATCCATGCTGGCGATCGCCTCATCTTCATCAACAAGCATGACACTCGCGAAGCCACCCATGATACCGTGGTGAGCCTGTTGGCCAACGCTGAAACAGCCGACCTCGTGCTTCTTCCCGCTACCTATCGCACCCAAGGCCGCTCCAAGGTGCTGATTCATCGTCCAGAGGGTCGTTCGTTTGGTTTCAAACTTCGCACGGGCGATAACGGACGCGGTGCCGCGGTGTTTGAGATCGTTCCGCACAGCCCAGCAGCGGCTTCCGGCCTACAGCTGGGAGACCGTATCATGGCCATTAACGGCCAGCCCTGCGTGACCGCCACTCACGAGAACATCGTTAAGATCTTGGCCGCCACTGAGGGTGTTCTTGAGCTGGACGTCGAATCCGGCAGCAGCTATTTCACAATCGGCGAGTCGCCGATGCCTTTGCCTCCGCTGGCGCCCTCTAACTTTGCTGCTCCCAACGTTCGGGAGGTGACGCTTGTGCGTGATGTCGAGGCTCGCTACGGCCTGCAAGTGTCTGTGGCCGACGACAAGCACGGTGCTCGAATCTCGGCTATCGATTCCAACGGTATGGCCGCGGGATCGGGTGCCCTGCACGAAGGCGATGCCGTGCTTGCCATCAACGGCCGCAGCATGCTGCACTGCACCACTGCCGAAATCCACGAGGCCTTCCGCATGGATTCAACGCAGATCCAGGTCATCGTGGCCGATGATTTCCCGCAAATGGAAGAGGTGCCTCTCAGCCTGGAGCGCAGCGACGGTGCTACGTGGGGCATGTCTCTGCGTGCGTTTGAGGATCGCCCTGGTACTGTCGTCATGGATGTGACCATGGGTGCTCCCGCCGCTCGGGCTGGGGTCCAACCCGATGACGTCATCTTCCAGGTTGATGAAGCGGATTTGACAGATCGCATGCACGCTGAAGTGCTCGAGGCAATTGCTGCAGCTAAGACGCGCATGTTCTTGGGCGTTCGTCGTGCCGCGCAGCAGCAAGCTCTCCCGCCCAGGAGGGTTCGATTCTTGGCCTCTCAACTTGGTGGAGGTGAGTTCAAAGATTGTGTGTTGGTCGGGCTAAATGCTGCACCGCCCTCGGCTCACTTTTGCCGCTTGTTCCCTCCTCCTTCCGCTTCTGTCCTGTGCAGCTCGCGCCCAGCAGCACGAAACAGTCTTTAGCCCGGGTCGCGAAACCGTCTTTGACGTGAAGCGCCCCGAAGATTCGCATGTTGCGCCCTTTAGCAACGGCGTCCGCCCCAAGAGCATTTTGCGCCAAACTCACCTGGTCAAGACCAACCAACAACGCCTCGGATTTGGCCTGCAGACCAATGATCAGGGTATGCCTCGTCTCGTTTGTCTTACTCTGCTCCATGGGCTTGATTTTTAACTAGACCGCATCATCCCCCTGACGCTCTCTGTCCTGGTCAACGCAACGATGTTGCTCGGTTTCGTCTTGGGCAGGCACGACTGTGGCGGATATTGATTCGCAGGGTGCGGCGGCCCAAGCTGGCGTGCAACGCCATGACGCAGTTTTGGCGCTCAACGGTGTTGACTGCACCGACATTACCGATGGTGAATTGGTGGAGGTCCTGACCAAGGGCTCTGCGATCGACATGACGACTTACTCGGGCCCCGTGCTCTTTGGCCGTCAGCGAGCCTCGCCCATGGGTATGTCCATGTTCACCTTGCCACCTCCGAGTCAAGTCTTGCAGTTATGTAAAAGACGGTCGCTTGTCTGACTTTTCCGCACTCCCTCACGTTCATTGTGCCATACGCTTGATTTTAGATGCCGTCAACCAAGTCCGTGTGTTCCGCCTCCGCCGAGTGGAGAACGGCACCTTTGGCATGCAGCTGCGTACGCGCCACGCCGACAACATGACCTTTGTCAGCCATGTAGACGAAGATTCGGTAGCCGCTGAGGCGGGTATCGAGGAGCATGATATGGTGGCCATGATCAACGGCATCAACGTGGAGCAAGACGATCACGAGTTGGCGCTTAACGCCATGCGTGAGAACACTACCGTTGTTGTCGTGGTCATTCGTAACCCGCGTCGCAGTGCCAAGCTGAGCGCACCGGGTGACCTTGGCTTTGGGCTCACGTTGATGGAATCCCAACCCGGGAACTTGTCCGTGGTTGTGGACACCGTGCAGGGTTCACCTGCGGCCAAGTGCGGCGAGTTTTATCCCGAAGACCGCCTGGTTCGCATTGATGACTTTGATGTGCGCAACATGCCCTATGCTCAGGTTCTCGGCATCATTCGCGCACGAAATACGGCACGCTTTGAGGTGGAGCCTGCTGGCGCCATGCGTAGCGTGGCGCAAGAGGAAAGTGCCGTGCAGCCGGCGCCCGTGAGCAATCAGGTGGCGCAGCCTCATGCGGAGGCTGATCATCAGCAGCGCGTGCGCGACTTGGAAGCACACGCCGAGTTGCTGGAGAATCAACGCCGAGAGTTGGCCGAGCGGCTCGAAGAGGCCGAGCGTAAGCTGGCCGAAGGGGATGAAAGCGCGGCTGCCCAACGCGTGGCGCGCAACAGCGTGACGACTGCTACAAACGCGGCTCTACGCCACTTGCTGGACGGCGACAGTGGTTCTTCTGATAAGGCTTCCGCCGAGGAGCTGGCCGCGAAGGATGCGGAGCTTGAGGCAGCCACGGCGGCTCGTGAGTCAGCGGAGAGCGAGGTCAAGCGCGTTACTGCTGCCTTGACTGAAACCCAGGCCGAGCTTGCCCAAGTACGCGCAGCCGCAGCGCAGGCAGAGGGCGAGCGCATTCGCACTCTGGAAGCACAACTCGCCGAGGCCAAAAAGCATGCCGAGGACAAGGCTGCTGATGCCAGCAAGGCCGCTGAAACGGCCGAAGCAGAGAAGAAAGCGGCCGAAGCAGAGAAGAAAGCGGCCGCCGATGAGGCCGAACAGCTGCGCACTCGTGTACAGGCCCTGGAGGCCGCTGCCGCAGCTGAGGCAGCCGCACGGGAGGCGGCCGGCACTGAGGGTGAAAATGTGCTGGCGCGCGAGCTGGCAGCAAAGGCTGCGCTCGAGAGTGAGAAGGACGCACTTGCCACGGAGAAGGAGCAAGTGGTTGCCGAGCGTGACCAGTTTGCACAGGAGCGTGACCAGGAGCGCGCCCAACGCGAAGCCTTGGAAGCCCGCATTGCGGAGCTTCAGGCTGCTGCGTCAGCCAGTGAGGCTGCCAGCGAGGAGGCCAGCCAAAACTCGGCTCAGCTGAAGGAGCAACAAGAGGCAGCCAGTGCTGAAGCAGCCAAGCTCAATGAGGAGCTGAACAAGGTGAGCGTGTTTTCCTGTGGGCATGGCATGTGCCGTGATGGTCAGGCTTGTGGTTTGACTGTGCGCAGACTTACTGACGGTGGTTTCATCTCCATTTAGGTGCGGGGCGAGAAGCAGGCGCTTGAAGCTAAGGTGGCGGAATTGGAAGCCCAGATCCCGCCTCTGCCCAGCGTGCCCAGCTCGCCCAGCCCTTCGACTGGTTGTAAGTTTGCTATCATTGCACGCTTGTTTTACGTTTTTGTGGTGGATGTTTGTTCTCATATCGCTTTGCTTGTTTAGCTACACGCCCAACCTCGCCGAAGACGCCTCGCTACCGACCTACTCGGGAGGACCCCGTGGACCGCGGCGTGGCAGCCATCGTTTCGGGTGTGTGCCTCGAAGCTTGTTTGCATACTTGCGTGCAGTTGTTGTGCCGCCTTTCTTTCGTGTCAAGTTCTCACACAATGCGTGCCTGTGACGTGGGAGCAGACCTTGAGCTGAGCCCTGATCAAGTGCAGCGAGTGGGCGACGGCAAATACAAGTTTTTCAAGGTTGACAAGATTGTCAGCATCCGCTGCGTCGGCCAGGTTTGTGAGCTCGCCAATTTGAACTTGTTTCGACTGCCGGCAAGGCAAGCGCGGCGACTTTTTTGGGCCTGGTTTCCGTTGAAACGCTGACGCATCTTTCTGGCTCTATGGCTGTTTCTCCCCTTCTGCAGCGCGTTGTTGTGCGCATTGGCGGCGGCTGGCAAGATTTGAAGGATTACCTTGCGCAGCACCAAAAGTAGGTTTTTCTTCAAACCTGACATGGCGCGCATTGGGTGCCTCGACCGCTGTCGCAAAGGCTCACCGATTTGGTGTCGTCTTGTCTTTCAGGGTTAATCCGATCCAGAAGACGATCTAAGAATCTGGCGGACGTGGAATCAAGTGAAGCTTTCTTCTTGTTCATTCCCTCCTTGGTTCTGTCTCAGTTGATAGGGTGCTTGCTTACGTTGTTCAGCCTTCATTCTCCCCCTTTTTGTTTGTTCTCTTGTTTGATGTGAAGGGCTTTGCTTCTCTTATCTTGTCACCGTGATGTGTCAGTCTTGTTCCTGTGCGGCGCGTCCCCCCCCTCTTGCGCGTTTGCCTGCTGAGCACCCCTCGCACACCACCTGTTTCTTAACATGTAAATTTAATCCTGATAAACAAGTGTTTGAGCTGCAGAGCTGCAGAGCTGCAGAGGAGAGAGAGAGAGAGATTGAGAGAGAGAGAGAGAGAGAGAGAGAGAGAGAGAGAGAGAGAGAGAGAGAGAGAGAGAGAGAGAGAGAGAGAGAGAGAGAGAGAGAGAGAGAGAGAGATTGAGAGAGAGAGAGAGAGAGAGAGAGAGAGAGAGAGAGAGAAGAGAGAGAAGAGAGAGAAGAGAGAGAGAAGAGAGAGAAGAGAGAGAAGAGAGAGAAGAGAGAGAAGAGAGAGAAGAGAGAGAAGAGAGAGAAGAGAGAGAAGAGAGAGAAGAGAGAGAGAAGAGAGAGAAGAGAGAGAAGAGAGAGAAGAGAGAGAAGAGAGAGAAGAGAGAGAAGAGAAGAGAGAAGAGAGAGAGAGAGAGAGAGAGAGAGAGAGAGAGAGAGAGAGAGAGAGAGAGAGAGAGAGAGAGAGAGGGAGAGAGAGCCCACGAAATACGCGAGAGAGAGAGGTGGGCGCTTATGCAATCAATAGCAGAGCAGCAACAATAAGTCAGACGTTTTTTTGAGCACGAGGTGTATGTGTGTATGCTCGTTTTCTCTCTCTCTCTCTCTCTCTCTCTCTCTCTCTCTCTCTCTCTCTCAGAGGCCTCAAGTCTCAATCAAGATGGCGATGCGACGGGGCGGGATGGCTTCGGCGGTGCCGATGGGTGGGCCGATTGGCGGTGGATCTGGTGAGGCAGGTGTCGCTGATGTGGCCAAGAAGAATGGCAGTGATCCGAACGAAGGTGGGTTTGAAACGGTCAACCAGGCGCTCTTGCTGGCCCCGGCGCGTGTTCCTTGTGCTCGGCCGTGGCCCAGGCTGGGAGACGTCAATCGGCAGCTCATCAGGGCTGGCATTGCATGCGCTTAGCCGTGGATAACAAGCATCTTCTTCGTCGGAAGCAAAAGAAGCAAAAGAAGAAGCGCAAACAACAGGTGCAGTGGCTGGCTCTTCGCGCCCGGTCTATGGGCTCGACCACGTGCTCCTGGCTCTTGAAATGACCCAGCCCAGCCTCATCACCCCTTACTCTGAATCCGTCGGTGGCCTCTATTCTCTTGTGCGTAGATGCAAAGCATTGTGGCCGAATCCAATGAGCCTGCCCAGGTGCGTTTGCTGTACTCGGGACCGTCATGTCCTCCCACACCGAGCCCTCTCACCTTGGACCCTCATGCTCCAACAGGAGTTTGAGAATATCGCCGAGGACGGCGATGATTTTTCGGACGAGGAAGATGCCGCTCGCCCTCCTGCCAAGACCGTCAAGGTACACGGCACAGGCGCACGCACATGTCAACCCTCGTAGTGCCCTGATCAGCTCCCGTCGTGATGCTCATGTTCATCTCCGCCTCGACCTAAAATACTCTTAGCGATCAGCCAAGTCAGCTGCCCATGGCGGCGCTGCAGCAGCCTCAGCCTCTGGCGGACGTGGCGCCCGTAAGTGATGTCATTAGTCCATCACTTTGACAGGCCAGGCGGACTGTTTGACCATGCTGTACCGGCCTTGAACCCCCTCTCGTGATACGTCTAGCCTGGGACAAGTCTCCAGTCGAGTGTCTCGAATGGCTTTTGGACCCGATTGATCTCAAGACATTCTTTTCGTAAGTGGAGCTGGTCTTGGCCGCTTCTGGTGGTGCAGACCCGCCCGCGTTCGCAGCCAACTCAGCTTGCTTCTTTTTGCGCCTGATTAGCGAGTACTGGGAGACCAAGCCCCTCTTGATTCGCCGCAAAAACCGCCAACGCTTCAAGGGCCTGTTCAGCTCCCAGCAGCTTGATGATGTGATTCGCAGCGTGCGTTATCAGATTACCAAGCAAACAAACGGTTGAACTTTTCCTTGATAGTTTTTGCTTCTTGTGCTCATCTTGGTGGTGGTCGCTGGGTGTGCTCTCTGCTGCAGAACTACATCAAGTATGGCGTCAACATTGACATGGCTCGGTATGTGCTCTTGGAGCACCGCACTTTTGTGGCTGCCTCGCACACTTGCTTGCTTCCAGCTTGGCTAATCTACAGCGTCGCTTGGGCAACGAGGCAAAAGAAGGGGGATCTGCCTGCTTCTGTTCTCATGGGTGTGATTGGGATCTGATCTTTGTGCCAGGTATTCCGATGGTGTGCGAACGACCGAGAATCCCGAGGGCCGTGTACATGCCAACACCATGTGGGCCTTGTACGAGGACGGCTGTTCCATTCGCATGCTCAACCCTCAAACATACGCCAAACCTGTGTGGCAGCTAATTAGCACCTTGCAGGTAGTGTCTTTGTTCATTTCGTGTTGTTGTTGTTGTTGTTGTTGTTGTTGCAAGCTACCTGAACGGTTGCTCGCATGTGCACGTCGGGTGGCTGCTGCCTTGATAGTAGCAATCTTCTTCCAGCTCACGGGCCCTTTGACTTGGACACCTGGTGCAGGAGTACTTTCAGTGCATGGTGGGCTGCAACACCTACCTCACGCCGCCAGGCGCCCAAGGGTTTGCTCCGCATTACGACGACATTGAGGTGGGTCTGCTCCATCACGCTTCAACTGCCTCGACCTCATATTCTCTTCCATTCATGTCGTTGCAACAGCCTCTTGTGTAACACTTGCTCATCTTCGTGCCCGATGCGCAAATAGGCATTGATCTTGCAGCTGGAGGGTTCCAAACGTTGGCGGCTTTACAACAACCCCACGGGGGAACGCCTCCCACGCACCTCCTCTCGTGCGTAGCCCTAGTCTCTTTCCATGCGCGATTGCTGTCATCTTCCTTCTGTCTGCACTGAAGCACGCCCTTTTGCTGTCGATCATTTAGGCAACTTTGACCAGAGCGAGCTGAGCGAGCCCATTTTGGATGTCGTGCTGCAGCCGGGCGACTTTTTGTACTTCCCCCGTGGTATGCTCGCCCGCTTCTTTGGGTGACTCGTGGATGGGAGCTACTTCTTGGCATTGGTATTTCAGTCTTTTTTTGACCGCGTCGGGTTGTGATCATTGCTGCCCAAAACCATAGGCATGGCGCATCAGGCGGTGAGTACACCAGATGAACACAGCCTGCACATTACACTCTCGACGTATCAACTCTTTGACTGGGCCGAGTACTTTAAGAAGGTTGGTGCTCGCCTGAAGAGCGCATCGGTGTGACATTTGAGCACCCCTGATGCCTGTTGTTCCTTCAAAACAGTTGGTGCCAGCGGCATTGGACTATGCCATCGCAGAGGATGCCGAGTTTCGGGAGGGTCTTCCCCTCCAGGCCCTCAATCACGTGGGTTTGCTCCATAGCGAGACGGAGGTGGGTTGACTCACACATGTTGCACCGCATGTTGCTGCTCAGCGCTCTCCTTTCGACGTGCACCAACGCCACTTTTGATGTCTGAAAACTTGCATCCTTTTTTTTTTTTTTTGTAGGGAGATAACCAGCGCAAGCGCTTCATGGACAAAGCCAAACACCTGTTTCAAAAACTGGTAGGGAGCGCCTTGCCGTGCGCTGCTAGGTCCATGAGAAATGACACGGTTTCACTTCCGCGATGTTGGGATGGAGTGTAGATTGACGTGGCGCCTTATGATTCGGCGGCCGACGCGGTGGCGGTGGACTTTTTGCACGCCAGCATGCCCTCCTACTTGACCAGTGAAGAGCTAGCTTTGACGTGAGTGCTTGCTGATCAACCCAACGACTGCGTGGAGGCTGGTAAGCCACCATTCCGCGTGAACTCATGTCCTACCTGTGGTTGATCCGCGCAAGTAGATCGCGGCAGAAGCAGCTGGCAGCTCGTTCGAATCCCGTCGAGCTTAGCTCGCCGGCTTTGGCGCCCAGTGACTGGATCCGGTTGATCCGACCCTCCATGTGCCGTTTGGTGGCAGATTCGCCTGAAATTGTACTCTTGTACCACAACCAGGATAATGCCATGGTGTGGCATGAGGAGGAGCCCCAAAGCCTCGAGTTCCCGGTGGTACGTGCATGCAAAGAAGGGAGGTGGCAAGCGCGCTCGAGCTAAAGAGAGAGAGAGTCAGGGGGGCAGCTGCCCCAAGCGTGGTTGTATGGGGGTAAGGGTTAGGGTGGGGTCGGCCGCTCAACGCTCGCGCGCTCACTGTTATGGTGGGGCTGTATTTTGGGTGGGCCAGGACTTTGCGCCGGCTTTGGAGCAGCTGCTACTGGCTCAAGACTTTGTCCGTGTGGACCGCTTGCCCGAGCTGGACGAAGCGTGAGTAGTCTTTGCTTTTTGAAATTTTAACCGTCATTCTGTGGATTGCTATGCAGTCCGCGGTAAATGTCGACATGCTCACGACGGTTGTGGATCGACTGGGGTGGGCTCCGTTTACGATAGAACGCAATGTGATCTTGCGACAGCGCTGTATGACGCGGGTCTGGTTATGCGCCATACCCAAGAGGAGATGGAAGCCGATTAGAGAGTGACCACGATTCCAGTGAGCTTCCAATGGCTATGGAGGGCTTGTGGGCGTATTCGGATCTGTGTCTGTGGGGTGAGCGTGCAAGTTTTTCTTTTGTGTGTTTGCTTGTGCGTGTGTGCACGCTTACAGCGCTCAGCTGGATCTTGGCGTCTTTTGAAAATTGATACCGGCAAGGGTCGCGCGATTGGGTTGTTGTGAAAGAGCACCCCGTGTGTAGGAAAGGGGTGTGTGTGTGCAGGAAAGGGGTGCGTCAAAGTGACGGGGCGAGGATTCGCACGAGGGCCGGGCACATTCCAGTCTGGCCCAATCGCAGACGCCTGCCAGTGGGTCTGAGGGTTCAAGTTTTCTGCTGAAACCCCAAAGAGGCGCCAGGGGAAGGGGTAAATAGGGTAGGTGAGGTGGGGGCAAGTTCCCAAGGCCGGCGCTACACCCCTTGTGCGGCAAAGCCATGATCTTGCAGTGGCTCAACGTTGGTCCATGCAAAAAGATCTCGGTGGACTGCCACTGGGGATGGATGTCCATACATCATTTCAAAAGACAGAGAGGGCAGGGTGCTGTAGGGCAGCTGCAGAAACTGGGGTGGCGAGAATGTCTGTTTTCCGAGCAGCGCAATGGACACTGATGGCCACTCCTCTCTTTATTCGAATGGAATGTGATAAGTGGCGCAGCCAATTATGACGCGACGTGCCAATCAGCCGCAGAGGCGACGAGCAACGGTGTCCCAGAGCCATGCAAGAAAGGTCCCAGTGCACCGAGGCGCAACAAGCGTTGCGCCTCTCGGACATAAAGTGCACGATCCATACGTCCAGACGTGGCATTGCGGAATTTCTCCCTGTGTTTTGGTCTCGTCCAGTCCATCTCCTCTCGCTCCTTCCTTCCTCTGTCCCTCTCTCTGTCTCTCTCTCCTGCACGGAAACGCAATGGGCAGGAGTGCCGCTCCGACGATCTGAACAGAACAGACACACGGGACACACACACACGGGACACACACGCACGAGACACACACGGACACACACACAACCGATATGTCAGCAGCATAAATGCATGCATGCATGGTCGAGGTGACGGTTGCAGAGCAGAGAGTGTCGCGGTGGCTCAAAGGATTTCAACGCGGACACGATGGCTGTCCTAGCATGTATGAGACGTTCTCGGGGACACAAGGGGATCAAGGCAGGCACAGATGAAGAGTGGCGTCATTCCGCGGGACATACCAGGGGGACCGCCGCAATGTGCACGCGCGACTTTTTGTGTCCACATTCCACTCACACCCTTTTGGGGGAGAGAGCCACATTCACCGCTGCTGCTGCTGCTGCTGCTGCTGCTGCTGCTGCTGCTGCTGCTGCTCAGTGTCCTGTGCCAATCCAACCATACTTGGCTTAAACCAGAAAGATGGGTTGTTTTGATTGTTATCATCACATCTCCACGTCGGGGGCAGGGGTTGGAGAGTGGAAGATCACGTCATGTGCTCGTGCTGTCCAGCCCCCACCTCGCCCATCTTCCCGCTCGTGGCTCGTCCACATCAAGAAAAGTTTTGGCGCACGACTTGTATTTTTCTCTTGATTGCCATACTTGACAACAACTCGCCCCGACGAGGTATCGCTTTTCCCTCACCTCTTCTTGTCGAGTCACCAGCCACCACCACCACCCCGATCCTGCCCTTTCACATAGCCTATTCGTGTTCAAGAAAGCACGACTGAATCGGACCGACTACCACTTGCCCCCTCGATACCGGATTTCGTCAACGACCAGGCCAGCCACCACCCTGTCCTTCCGCTGCTCGAGGCAGTGCATTTTCCTCTCGCCATTCCCAGCGACGACTTTTCCCAGGTGTCTTGTGCCCCGTCAACCAAGCAAGATGATGCGTCTTGCCCTTGCCCTGGTGCTGCTGGCCGCCTCCACGGCTGGTGTGCCTCTGCAGCGCCGTGAGGCTTCGCCAAGCCCAGTTACCATCGACGCCTCGGGGGACAGCCAATTGTTGGCCTCTACCGTCGCGCCGACCACCACCACTACAACGACCACCACCACGACCACAACCACAACCACTACTACCACTACGACCAGCACCGTCCACATGTGCGCCCAAGACGATGCCTACGAGCCCAACGACACGTACAACTGGGCCGCAATCCTTCCCATTCCCAGCGTCAGCAACCTGCGTCTCTGCGACACCGGCGACTACTTTCGCATCACCGTCTGCAACGGTGCCACCGTCTCAGTGCATCTTACATTCAACAGCTCGTACGTCCCGCTGATCTGTGCCTTTGCTGAACACATTGCTGCTCCCCCTGCAGACACCCACCTGCGCTCTATGGTATGCTTTTGCTTCTGGTTTCCTCACTTTTGACATGCGTTATTGATGTAGAAACGGTGACTTGGACATGGCCATCTATGACTCGCCCAATGGCGTCCTGCTCGACTCGTCGGCCACCAGCGGAAATGAGGAGTCGATTACCTTTGTGAACGACTCACCTGGCGTCGGGACCACCGAATTTGTCATCCGTGTCCTCAGCCTCTCAAACCACATCAACGCCTACACGCTGAACGTGTCCCTGGACGACGAATGCAACGAGCCCACCACCGTCGTGCCCACCACCACCGAGCTCGAGATCACCACACCCGACCTCAGCACCCCCGTGTGCCCAGACAACTTTATCATCCGCACCTATGCGCGCGACCGCACCTTTGACGTCACCTTCACCGTCTCCTGCCCCTATGGCCACATCGTTCGCTTCTGCAACGACCGCGACGATGACGCCGTCGAGTTGATTCTCTTTGATGACCAAGTTGTTGCTTCTGATTACACCCATCTTCAGTACTACGTGCCCCCCGAGGTTGCCATCGAGGGCAAGCACTACTCCCTCCTCGTCTGGTCCAGCCGTCGTACGGCCATTGAAATTTATGGTCACCTGCTCATCAGCGAGTGCGTCACCCAGTAATGATTGGGCCCCCTCCACATTCTCTGACTTTGCCAGCTCCCCCCTGCACGCCTTTCCAGATTGGCAAATCGGCACGGGCGGGGCTGCCTGCATCTTTTCTGTTCCTGTGTTTGTCTTTGATTGCCCTTGATTTATTTGCTTTTCCTTGAGTTTGAGCGGTTGATGCGGCCGAGCCGGTGCTCACCCCTTGCAGACAACGTCATTGCCGTAAGCTGGCATGCAAAACCTGCACTTTGCGGTTGGTCTAAACAAGGGATACGCACCAGCCTCCACCGCCCCCGCTGCTGATCTTGTCTCCCGTCATCCCTCTTGTTGCCGGATGACTGATTGATGTTCTTCTTAACTGATGTTGTAACCTCGCCCCGCCTTTTTTTTTTTCTTTTCCTTGTGCGAGTGCCTTTTTGCTACAAAATGCCCGCCGCCTTTGTGTGTGCTTGATTGGCCTTGCCTCAACATCACACTCGGGGTGTTCTCGATCAAAGTCGCAATGCGTACAATTGATGGTGTTTCATGGGATTACCTTTTCAAGTTTGATTTCACCTCTGCCTCTGTTGGGTCACATTTGCAGTACACTCGGTGTCAGTGCTGGGAACGCACAAAGGCATGAGGACATGCCACAAGGCACCTATCAAGGCTCGCCGGAGACAGCCGCTGGGGGTGCCATTCTCTTGCCACTTTTCAGCCAGCGTGCTTTATGCGTCTCAGTCAGGGCTCGACCCCCGTGCGTGATGGCTGCACATCGCACACCTGAGCCATGACTCGCCAAAATCAAAGACAGATCACCATGAGCCATGAGAATGGCCTCCAGCTGCGACACGTATGGTCTCAGAGGGTGAAAGGCATACCTTGTTGTTCAGCCGAACGAAGAAATCCAACGTTTGCTGTTACCGTGGGAAGACCCAGAGCCAAGCCAGTGCCAAAGATGGCGCGGCTTCGTGGCTTGAGACGGCTCGAGCCCTATGACAAGTTCACGCGCCGATGGCTCACGTCAAGCAAAAGGCTTTCAATGCCACAAATGCTTTTTGGTCGTGTTATTAATATGTAAATTGAAGAGCGATCGTACCGGCAGTGCCTCCATCAGGGGCGAGCGTACATCCTCGATTTGGGTGACGCGCTCGAGAAGTTCCTTGATAAAAGGGCGATAAAAGACGGATTTTGTCGTTGTCAGTCATGTGGCCAAAAGCGACGCAGCTGGGCGATGGCTTTGGGGTCAACGCAAACCTTGGCCCGTTGGCCCTCGCGTGGGCCACCAATGTGCTCAAGGATGCTGGCAAAGGCCTCGCGTGCGGTGCGACATGCCAGCAGCTGCCGATCCGCAAGCTGTGGTGTCAGCTTTTCCAGAACTGGATCGTCCTGCTCGTCTTGTGCCATGCTTGATAGCAATGGATCGATGAATAATTCTGGTTCTGTGTGCCCATGGGACACGTCTGAGACGAGCGCAATCATGGCACTGACATCTAGATTTAAAGCATCCGGGGCCACGGTGGCCACCCGGCCATCTGGATGCATGGCCTCGACCTTGACCTGCGATGGATGTGCAAGTGCATCAAGGAAAGAGGCTCAGATCACCAATGCGTCGTGCGCATCGATTGCACACACATACACATACACACACACACACACACACACACACACACACACGTGCGCGCGCGCGTACGGCTGCTTGCGCAAAGTTGGCTCGCAAACATTGACAATGTAAATGGAGCTTACCTCACCCACAGCAAGCTTTGCAACCGGCACCTCTAGCTTCGTAAAATCTGAAGCATCATCCTCTGCGCCATCCGATTCCTCTTCCGTCGGCAACAGCGGTGCAGGCACGGACATTGCCTCCACGGCAGCACCAGTGGCTGCACAACACAAGCGATGTACAGTAGTAAAGCAGAATGAAGGGAGACGGGCCAGTCGTCACATTGAGCACCAATGATTTGCTTCCCGACAATAATGCTAACCTTCGCACGCGCGACGCAAATCGTCCGTTATGCCTTGGGTACAGCGTAGCACCACGCTAGAAGCAACAGGTTTTGGGCTGAGCAAAAGTTCACCGATCGAGCGGAAAGTGTCAAGTGATGAGGTGGGGGTGTCTTTTGCGTACTCGGGTATGCGGTCGCCGACGGGGCACGCAGACGCCAATGCCACCAGCTCCTGCAAATTAAATGGCAAAGGAGAGGAAAAGGCGCAATAGAAAGAGAGGGTTAGTGGCACGGTGAACTGAGACAAGGCGCCAGGTGACGAGGGCAGACGTCACCTGAAGCTGCACATGCAGGGAGCGCTGGCCATAGGCGCAGAAACCGTGGAAGATGTTGTGCAGCGCAGCTGCATTCCGTGCAGACACCTTGTACCAGCGAACACCTACTCAGCCGCATCGAGCTTGACCTGAGGGTCGACTGGCAACTGCTTGGGCCATCAGGTCTTGGCGGCGCACCACGTACCGCCATGAGTGACAACGTCCACCACGTGGGTGCGCTTGACAGTCTGGCCATTGGCGTGTAAGATCCGCGCCGTATACTGTCATTCAAACGCCACAAGCAAGCGCATTGACACGGCAACCGTATCAGCTCTCTTCAATCGTCATGAAGGTAATTGGGTCAAAGCAAGGCCGAGCTCCCAGCGTCGAGACCCACACCTTTTTATCGCAGGCCACCACGTCAGGCTGGTGCTCCATAATGTCCAGCATGGCCTGGCATAGCGGAACCAAGAGGGCGCAGGTCAGCACAACGCAAAAGTAGCAAGTGGTCGAGCAACAGCGTCGCCTCCAACCTGCCAATGGTCTAGGTTGCTGGACTTGAGTTTCTTGCCATCCAGCTAGAATAGCATTTTGTCACATTCAGGTTTGGCAACTTGGGTCAGAAAGGGGCCAAGGGCGCATGCTCGGATAAACCATATCAGGTCCTTGTGTGTTAATGATGCATGCCACGAACCTCGTCTTGCGAGAGGGCCGTCAGGAAGGCAAGTTCGGCCTGCAGGGAACGGTGCATCTGTGCCAATTTGCAGTCAAGACTGAGCATATGGAGGCCAGCCAAGGGACGTGGGCCAAAAGCAAAGAGCGCCGCGCGCCCAAACAAAGCAAATGTACCTTGGTCGTGTTGGCCACCCCTTGTTCGCTGAGCACAGCAGCCCGCGCAACGCAGTCCTGGGCCTGTGCCAATCGCTGCGCATACAAAGCCGCCACATCCTCGCCCTCGCCCGTCTCGGTCATCGTGCCGTCTCTCTCTCTCTCTCTCTCTCTCTCTCTCTCTCTCTCTCTCTCTCTCTCTTGCGCGTCAACTGTCCGCAGTTGATAAACTTCTTGTTTTACTTTAAAGAGGTAAGATGTGCATCTCTAATTTGGAACTATGCATCACCTCTCATCTCTCCTCTCGAACACATGACGGAGTGTGTTTTCATGCTCTGGTTCACGTGCAAGTGTTGTTGAAGAGGTCACAAATCCATTGGGCATGGTCACAGCTTCTTGAGCAGAGAGTATATTGACCCACAGGAAAAAAACAAAGCGGCAAATTCAAATCACGCACAAAAGAGGGGAGGATGGCAACACTCCAATCATCAGATATCGGAAAGCCCCCTATCAGAGCTCGGCCAGCTTGGCTCGAACCACCGCCTCCATCTCCGCGTCAGGCACCTCAATTTCCTCGCGCGTCGACATGACGCGCAGCTAAAGACAATACCCCCCACCACCACACACAAAAAAAGACGACAGATAGATGAGCCAGGACAGAGCACGCGAAAAACCGTATGACCAGGCAACTTGAGAAGCAAACTCGTACCTTGACGACACCACGCTCCAATTCATCAGGGCCCAGCACAAGACAGAGAGGGATTTGCTCCGTCTCACACTGCTGGAACTGGTCCAAGAGGCGCGGCTTCAACTTGAAGGATGTCTGAAACCCAGCGCCCAACAATGCGTTCCACATGACGACGACAACCAACGCAAACATGCTCAACAAGCTGTGCGTGCATCCAGTGCGAGGTGACAGGCTCCCAGACGTACCACGGCACCAATTTGTGCCTCCCATAGGCGGGTACAGTAGCGCAAGCGCTCCTTATCCATGCCTTGACCACTGGCCACAAGCACTTGCGTCTAAATCGTTGGAGGAAGGAGTCGGAAACATGATACCCCGCAGATCCCAGCAAAGTCCAAGGCACACCAATACGAACCGCTGTTTCACGGAAAGTCTCGCCGGCCTCCTTGGCTTGCTCCTATGATGCAAGAGAAGAACAAAAATGCAGGCCAACGCGATAAGATGCAAAGAGGTGCGAGGAGGCCCTCAATGGGGGCATGTGATCTTGGTCGCCGATGATGCGCACCTCCATAATGGTGAACAGGCGTTCGACGCCGAGAGAGACGCCAACGCAAGGCACCTTGCGACCCTTGGCGTCGAACATGCCGACCAAGTTGTCGTAGCGACCGCCGCCTGCAACCGAGCCCACACGCTTGCCTAGTAGCCGCCAAACCACAGGCTGTGAGGTGAGCTTAGCCACACAGACCTCCACACCTGCTTCCCCACTCGCCTGCTTTACAAAGGTCAAGACTACTCACCGACAAAGACGGCCTCATAAATGACACCCGTATAATAATCCAGGCCACGCGCCAGGCTACAGTCAAAGGAGACCTGAAAAAGAATCAAGACAAAAGCAGCCCAGTCAGATATGCGCACATCACTGTCCAAGGTATGAGGTCAACGATGCACGTACGCGGTGCTCGCAGTTCATCATGCGGCAGTAATCAAGCAGCTTTTCCATCTCGTCAATGCCTAATGACAGCAAAACGACGGTGAGTTGCCGTTGGCAGCCAGTCAAAAATCAACAGCCAAAACTGCTGTGCCGGCTGTCGGGAGTGGCAAAAGATCAGGCAAGCCAGCAGCGAGCCGCACGAGCACCACATACCCTCCTTGGCCATGGGATTGGCATAGAGCTCTTCAATCGACTTGAGGCGGGCAATGAGATCGGCGTTGGGCATGGAAAAGTTGGCGCCGGTGCCAGCTCGCAGCTGAACGTACTCGCCGATGCGATCGGCGCTTTCAGCCGGCAGACCCTTTTCGTCCACCATTTCAGCCTTGACTTCGTTCCAGGGCTGCTTGTCAAGCTTGTCCACGGCCGAGCAAATGGCGCGGAAGCTGGCCTCGGGCACACCGCAAACGGCGAAAATACCGTCAAGCAGCTTGCGGTTGTTGACCTTGACCACATAGTCACCCAGCTTGAGGCCATCCAGCACCTCTATCGAGTACAGGAGCAACAAGAATACCGGAGCGGGTCAGAGGCGCAGGCCATCAGATGAGTAAGGCAAGGAAAAGAGCAAAAAGGAAAAAAAAAAAAAAAAAAATACAATGATGAGCCGTGTTTGACAAACAGCATGGTGCGCACCAGTGACAATCTTGACGCATTCAGCATCGGGCATCATTTTTCCATTGAACTGGCCCGCAATATCAATGTCCTATAGGATGAAGCACAGGTTGAGGTCCGATGCAGAAGATTGGTGACAGTGGCAGGCTTTCGGATTTTGCCATTGTGACATGATGGCTGGATGGCAGCAGCACGTACGCATTGGTAAAACTCGCGATAGCGACCAGTGGTCACGCTGGGCTGGTCGCGGCGGTACACGCGTGCAATGTGATAACGCTATTCAAAGACAAGCCAAAGGTGCATGAGGCCTGGTCGTGCTGATACTTGATTGACCCAGGTACCCAGAACGCACCTTGATTTGCTTGATGCTGTTCATGGCCACATAGCGGGCAAAAGGCACAGTCAAGTCATAACGCAGCGCAAGAAGCTCGCCACCCTAAGGTGTCAACCCGGATATCCAAAGACACGCATGCGGCAAGAATTGAGGGGTGAGCGTGACCATGGACAGCAAGACAAGCAGAACCGTCCACCAAGGTTGCTCTTCTGGTAAAGGTAAATCATCTCTGATGGCACACACACCTGATCAGCGAGATCGTAAATGAGCTTGCTGTCCTCACCATACTTGCCAGTGAGCGTCTCCTGCGTCAACGAAAATAAGGCACATGCGACACGGTTGATGAGCGCTGTGAACCATGACAAAGCGTATAGAGACGTCTGTCCAGCCAACAAATGGAAGGAAAAAGTTGGATGTTCGCTGGCGAACCTTGAGCTCCATGACCGGTGTGTCAATGGTGACGGCGCCGTGACGCTTGAAGACCTGGGCAGCGTTGCGCCAGAGCATAACACGGTGAGCGAGAGTGCAAAAAAAAAAAATGAGGCAAGATGCCGGTGCACGTGCACGAGCAATCCCCATCGGTTAATGTGAGATGCACGGACCTCAACGATGCGCTTGAAGACAAGCTCTCGCACAGCCATTTTCTCGGGCCCGTAATCACGCATACCCTACAACCCCGCAGCGCAGCGCATGAGTGAGTACCTGCAAAGTTGGTTTGCTGCAGCAGACACAACTTTGCACAAGTCGTGCAATCGTGGCATGAGCACAACTCGACGCAGGGGATCAACCTTGGGATTTTTGAGCTGGAACTTTTGGTCCTGGGTCTTGGCCGCAGCCGAGCGTTTAAAGTTCTTCTTGGAGGCATTGGTCGGCGCGGGGTCCTCGCCTGCAGGCGGTAATAAATTAGCATCAACTGGGAATGTTGGCTCTTGTTGGCGGATGGGCAGAGGAGGGCGTACCTGTCAAGTCCTTGTACTTGGCCTTGAGCTCCAAGAGAGCGGCGACCTCCTCCTGAATGACGGCCTTGTCTGCCTTGTTGGACTTGAGACCGCGAACCTTTGTCGATTGCTCACCAATCTGGGCCAAAAGCTCCGAGGCTGGGTCTGCTGCAGAAGCGGCGGAGGCGGCCGGTGCTGCGCTTGCGGGTGCGGCAGGAGTTGTTGACTGCGGACAGCGAAGCGCATGGTGAGCAAACACCAGCCGCAAAGGAGAATGGAGGGAGCTTTGGCCGCACCGCAGTTGCTGCAGACGCCTGGGCCGAGGCTTCCATGCGAGCAATGCGCTCATTCAGGGTGGCGATCATGGCCTCCTATCAATGATCATGATGGACAAAGGAAGCTATGAGGTTGTGTCACGGCTGAGACCGGTTTGGCACAGGCGTACACATGATGGAACGTACAGCCTCCTCGGCGCGGCGGGTCAAGCTGGCCAAGGGATCCATGTTGGAGGTGTAAGGACGGAGCGAGGTGCCAAGCTGGTGATGCCAAATGGGTTGAAACCGGCTAGACGCGGTGCTGCTGCGAACTGCCGAGTGGAGCTGGAGCGGCAAAAGAAGCGGGCGCGGCAATCGGATCGAAGCTCGCCACATCAAGCGCTCGTTGTCTCACAGCCACTCCTATGCCAATGGCACCGAGACCTGCCAAACCAGAGCCAGTGCACAAGTATAAGTGTCAGAACAACGCGCGCTTTGCTTGTGTGTGTGTGTGTGTGGTGATGATGACGGAGATCATGGCGGCGGGGGTGACACAAGATTGGCATTTGTGGCAAATGAGGATTAACAAGAACAGCCACGTAGCAGAGGCCGATCGACCCGTGGTTCCAAACAGGCCGCTGCCGTTTGCACATACACTCGCACGCCCACACACTCACACAAGCACACACACACATTGCCACGTGATTCAGCTCAAACTTCTCCCACCCCTGTCTAATTTGACTTTTGCAGTCTCGCCACCATCTGAGCAAGTGATTCAACGGACGAGTGACTCTGTTCGTGTGGACCAGGCTGCCGTATTCATCTCACGGGCGAATGCAGCATTCACTGGCGGCGCTGCCGTTTGATGGCTCGCTTCCAGCTTGCTTTACCTTTTGTTGTTCCAAAGGAAAATGAAGCTGGCAGAGGTATGTAGCTGAGAGCAAGCGAGTTGAGAGAGTGGTCATGGCTTGGCATCCAGTTACGCTTGCTTACGCCTATCTTTCAGAGAAACGATCCAAGAATAGCTCCAACTGAGAGAGTTGGCGTTGAAACATACACACAACAAGTTATGTGCCTGTTGAAAGCATCGCGCGAGAAGCTCGACTGTAACAAAATTTACACTTTGTATTTATCATAGTGTAATGTACGCACACTATTATACAGTAACATATCTCACTTGTTTCGTCGACTGTAAAATGTATCAAAATTTTCACTGCATTCGTGCGCTGGTAAATTTTGGATGAATTTTTTTTTTTTTTTTTTAAAAACAACAGAGTGTGTGTGTGAGAGAGCGAGCGAACGTTCAGGTGTGTGTGTGTCAAACGGCAGCCGGCAGCTGGCAGTCGTCGTGTGTACTGGATGGGGCTGTAGTTGAATGCATCTTGCTTTGAGAGGTCGCTTTTATGCTCCCCGGGCTGGCGAAGGTTGGGAATGCCATCACCGTCGCTACTATCGGTCTCACCTCTTCTCTGCTCTTTCACGGTACAGCATGAGCCGGCGCGCAGGTCCCCATGCAGGCGACTCTCTGCTTGAGGCGCTGCTCGACTCGGTGCATGTGATGCTCAGCACCTATGGTGTCATCATCGTGGCTGTTGTGGTGGCCATTGTTGTTGCCCTCTTGATTGTGGAGCTCGTTTTTGAAAGTGGCAACTCTGACCCACCTGCCCGCAAACGCACGCCCCAGGTATGCGCATTCGTTGCTCCCGCTTTAACCCCCCGCGCGCGCCCTCACGACAGGCCATGCCTTTTGAAACAGTATCAACCAGCTCGCGTCTCCGCTGCCAGCCAACTGGACAGTGACGATGACGATGACGATGACGATGACGACGACGACGACGACGAGGATGACAACAAGGACGACAAAAATCGTCTGGCTGGAGCCCAGCCTCGTCAGCAAACAATTATTGGCCAGGTCGCGCAGCATGTCCGAAACTATGCCCGTCACCGTCTCACCTCTTTTCAATTCGAGGAACAAGGTCCGGCTTGGCTTTTGCTCTTTGCCCTTCGTATTGGCCACGAACCATCTTTTCACGCTCTCATCGTCCGCTCCCGCTCGGTGCTCAGGGCGTGAAATGACTCAAAAGGAGCTGGGACTGCTGCGTGAAAGCTTTCGTGGCCTTGATGCGGCTGAACGTCACCGGTTTTTGAGTCGCCTGCGAAACCCGCGCCAGTTTCAGGAGTTTCTTGCTGGTGCCCCCGACGTGGCCGAGCATGCCGCTCGTCATCCTGTCTATGCCAATCGCCTGCGCGAAGCCAATAGTGGGTTTGATAACCCTCTACCCTACCAAGAACAGCGCTATGAACGCCGCCTCCAATTTGAAGAATCCCTCCAACGCAGCATGGCGGAGCGGGATCGCCTCAGCCACATGACAACGGCCGCTGCGGCCGCCCAAGCGCAGGCCCGAGCGGCTCAAGCGCGAGCTGCCCAGGCCCGAGCGGCCCAGGTCCAGGCGCAAGCGCGAGCTCGTGCGTCCACTCAAGCACAAACCCAGGCTCGTGCTCAGGCTCAGGCCACTCATCGCCCCGTGACCACCAATGTACCAGCCCCACGTCCCACGACCCCTCCCCCCAGCAATGCTGCCCTGATTTCCGCCATCCCAAGATTTGGCTGGCTTGACGCCGCCATTCAGATTTTGGGGACAGCCATTTTGTTTGTCGGAGCCAAGGCTTACGCACATGGCTGGGCGCTCAACTGGGATGTCATTGCGTTTGCTTCCAATAACACACCCTCCCTGCGTGAATGGCTGATCCTCTGGAGCGCGGCCGTGGGAGCCCTCCTCTTCCTGACTCAGATCATTTCCGTGGCATACCTGGTTCCCAACTTGTTGCTTCGTCCCTGGCGCATCTTGGCTCCTCTGACAGCCGTCATTGCTCCACTGTTTGCCCGCCTCGAGGACGCTTGGGATGCACTGCTTCACGATGGCAGCTTTGGCCAGCATGCCTCGGGCCTCTGGCAACTGGGCCGCTCCTTTGCCGAGATGTCTACCGTGGTTTTCCGCGTTGCAACGCTGGCCCCTGTTCTGTACCTACAAGGCATGGCTCAATTCCTGGGTCAGAGCTACCGTCACACACTTTTGGCAGCCACATTGGCCACCATTCTTCTCGCTGGTTTGGGCTACCGGTTCCCTCGCAATGAACTGCAGGCCCAGGGTATGGCCCAGGCCCCGCTGCAGGCCTTTCGCGTTGAGGCCGACCTCGTGGCCGAATCGATGGCGCGCCTTTTCCGCACGTTTTTTCACAATGCGAGTCTGGAAGCGGCCCTGCTCATGTTCTACGGCCATGCCGTCTTTGTCGTCGGCATTATTGCAGCCCTGACGCTGCTCAACGCCTTGCTTGCTTACATCCCTCTCGGCGCCATCTACGTCATCCTGGCCACTGTTTTCCCGCCTTCCCTGGCTCTGGATGCCCTCTTTTTCATCTTAATTGTGGCTCTGCCGCTGGCTTATGGCCTGCGATCGGCACTTGTTGATCTGCAGGCTGGCGCGGCATTGCTCGTGCCGACCATGGCCGCCATTGGCTCGGCGCTGACGATGAACTTGCTGTCCGCTCCTCAGCTGGTTGCGCTCTGGAATTCGGGCTCCATCGCGGCAGCAAGCCTGCTGCAGGCCAGCCCACCCATCGTCGTCCCACAGCAAGTTGATCTGCCCGATGAGAGTCTGTCACTCATTTACAGCGTCGTTGACGCGTGCCTGAAGGTGACCTGCGGCGCGCCCCAAGAGCCCTTCCAGCGCCAGCTTGGCGACATCACGCCTCCCGATCAACTTTTTGATCTTGACGTCTGTCCTCCTCAAGCCGTTGCGGCTTGCAATGCTTTGGCAGATCAACCCCTTCCCTTCGACTTTCTGAGCCTGACTCGGTACGAGCGTCCTGTCCTTTGTTGTTGTTGTTGTCGCTCTCAACGATGTGGCCTTGGTCATATCATTCATTGCCTGTCTTACCCACCCGGATCTGTGCAGCACGCTGACAGGTTTGCGGGTCATGACTCTTGTGCTCACGACCGCAGCAGCTGCGTACATCAGCTATCGATACACGGTAAAGCCCTTCCCCTGTCTGCTGTGTGCCTCATTTTGAAAAGGCGTTGGGAATCGTTTGTGACCCGCTTGTCCTGAATTACCTCATCGTCTTGGTCTCACCTGATTGCGTTCTTGTGTGCAGAATTGGAGCGTCATCATTGCCACTGCTGTAGCAGGCTATGCGCTCACACACTCCCTCGCAGATCTACGATCTGTGCCCGGCTTGGTGGCCATGGCCTTGGCCGTCCTCTACCAGCGCAACGTTGCCTTGCCTCTTTCCCGTGTTTTCGGCGCGGCCCCCTAAGCGCTATCGTGACCCCTTCGCTTGGCGAATCTCAAAAAAAAACAAAAAAACAAAAGGGTGTCTAGAAGAGAGAGGAAAATTCGATTTTTGACTTGTGATTTATTTATTTTTTTTTTTTTAACCAAGCACGAGAGAACACTCCCAAAACAAAGGCACATCGTTGGGTTAACAGACGATGCCACAATCCAAAAGTTGACATCGCCTAGAATGAACACCGTATCACCAAACAGTGTCGACACCTGCCCGCCATCAATATCGGCCGCCCAGCGGCTCGTCAAACTGGAAGCTCAAGAGCGACGACTCCGTGTGCTACGACGCCTGTCAAGGTGGTGAAGCATGTTCATGCATGAGAAGCTGCTGCCTTACTTCCTGCATGGCCAATATGCAGGCTTCTAAAGGGACACGTACCGTGCAAGGTTGCCTTGATCTTCATTGCTCTCGACGGTGGTCTCTGCGGCTGTGCGCTTTGCCCCAGGCGAGCCTGAAACGAAAAGAGCCACAGTGATGATGACGCGTGGTAGATGGGTGCCAAGTTAGGCCGGTGATGGATTGGCCGAGCTTTGAGACACTTACTGTGGGCAGCACCGGCATCGGTGGCGGCAGCAGAGGCTGCATCCTCGGCCACCTCATCGAGTGCCTCGGGCTCGACCATTGGAGGCCACTCAATGCGGTAGTTTGTTTGCTCCTTGTGGCGCATCAAGGGCTCGAGATCGTGGGGCCAGGCTTCGGAGCAAGAGGGACACTTGACCTCACTGCTGGTGTTGAAGTGCGTTCGGGGGATGAGCGTCCCTAAAACTCCGCTGTTGAATCGCACGGCAGGTGCGAGTAGCCGCACCTTGATCCATCGACGGCAACACTGTTGGCGTATTTGCACAAACAATACACATGCACGCGACAGTCACATTCCTCATTGCCGCAGTTTTGACCCTAAATGGGCAAAGCACGTGGAGCCCAACGCAATGGGGTGAGGCTGAACTTCAGGCAGCAAAGCAGACCACCGCGTCGAGCGGGCGCCAGAAGAGGAGCAGCATCCCACTGGCTTCACGAACTCAACTTACAAAGGCAATAAAGTGCTTGCAGATGAAGCATGGCTGAATGCGATCCTCAAATCGCCGTTGTAGCATGGGCAGTAGTTCCAGTTGACCTCGGGGCCCCAGTGTGTAAGCCTCGAGCTCTCTCTGTCGATGTCAAAAGCGGATCAGACATCCACTGTGACCAACCAGCATGGGAGGCAAAGGGAGGCAAGCTGAAGAAACAAGACAGGGTGTGCGCGATGTACCACAAAGGTCAGCCATCCGTCGGCGATGAATCTCTTGAGGCAACGATCGCCTTCGCCATGGGTCAGGTTGCTGTCGCGCCGGCGCCAGCGTTCAGAATGAGGCGACAGACGGGACATTCAAAACGATAGGAGCAGAGTCATGGGCAAGCATCAAACAGCAAAGCTGCTTCCTACCGATCCTTCATCGACGTGATGCTCTCGAGGGCGGCGGAGTGGCTGATGGCCCCCTCGACCGAGGACAGCATTTCCTCGAGCTATAGAGCCAGAGTCACCCGTGAAAAGCACATGTCGGAGAAGGCAGGCGTTGTGCAACGACTCGACGCACCACTGCGTTAAGAAACTGAATGGTTGGCTTGTCATAGTGTGTGCCCAGCTTGCTCTGTTCATCTTCCACAACATTGACCTGCAAGACGCACAAGCATGATGAGCCATGCAACGGCACTTGATCGTCTTCTTTGGAATCTGAGCGCGCAACGAGAAGTGGTCAACGTGCAATGGCGTAGACGACAACGCCCGTGTCATCGAGGGCCCGATCGGCGAGGTCCAGGTCGAGGACCTTGAGAGCTTTCCGAACAACACCGCACGTTGTTTCAAAGCTCTCCTCGACTGCAAGCATGGGGCCGCACGAATGAGTGTTGCTGACCAATGACGCAGTTGAACGTTTCTTCAGTCGGCGGCAGCTCGTCCCACTTACCGCGCGCAGCCTTGCAGCATCGCTCGTGAAGAATCTTTGCATCCTCTGCAGCCAGGAACTTGTGGCTGATCATCGCCTGCATGAACATTCGCTGATGCAGCTGAATCGGCGGCAGCTCAAATTTTTCCATCTTTGAAGGTTCACTTTGGGAGATTGGACACACGCACGTACACACGCCACGCGGCGTCAAACCGTGCCCAGGCTCCGCCCGCACACACACAGAGGCCAACACAGGCACACAGGCAGAGACAGACAGACAGACAGGCAGGCAGGCAGACAGGCAGACAGACACACAGACAGACAGACACACAGGCGCAGCTGGTCCGCACACGTGAATCTGATCGCGAACGAGCGAGAGAGAGAGAGAGAGAGAGAGAGAGAGAGAGAGAGAGAGAGAGAGAGAGAGAGAGAGAGGATTTAACGGCTCGTTTGTGGAAGTGTGACTTTGATCGCACTTGCCTTCATAACAAGCAGAGTTACCACTTTACCAAAGCCAGAAAGTATTTCGAGCAAAATTATCCAGGTGCGCCTTACCAAGACTACCATACCACCCTGCTTTCAATGAAAGTATTATACTATAGATACCTCTACCAAAGT